AATATAAGGGGACAAGCCCTTGGTTCTTTTTATTTTTTTATAAATTTATACTTTTAGTATTTCTATACTTTTAAGTGTACTGTTTAATGACTTTTTGTATAGTTTTTTTTAACAATCTCAAACTTACAGAAATGTTTCAAATACAGCACAAAAATAAATTTTGTTTTCTGAAACAGTCAAAAGTAAGATGCCAACAAAATATTCTAACTCTAAATACTTTAATGTACAGCTCTTACATGGAGATGAATTCTCCTACACAAGCACAACAGACCCTTCAAAATCAGCTTAGGATTCCCACCCATATGCTGATGGCTTGCACACTTTAAATCTATTGTCCTCTGAGATCAGAACCTATTTGAGTATGCACTTAAAAAATTCAATTGATAACTCAAAATAGTTTAGATTTATCATATACAAACTGTCCTTAAGATTTCCCCCCATTTTTTTCCTTTCCTAAAATATTGGCCTTTTTCCATATTTGTTACTAAATTGGGACATCCAAAAACCTATGAATAATTCTTGACATCTTTTTTCTCAGTATTAATATTTATCCATCTCTGATTTATTTTACATTAATTTTACAAGATAAATATTTATTATCCAATTTCATAAATTGATTAAAATGTGTTTTGTTACATTTATTATAAAATCCAAATCCCTACATCATGAATGCACGATCAGGCTCTTTCCTACATTTCTATTTACCTCCTGGACACTTCCCCTGACTCATGCCTCTTTAGCCTCATTGTACTTCACTTTCTTTTCCCTGTGCCTAAATTATTCTTCCTATAGTACGAAACATTTTATTAAAAAACATTTTTTTAACCCCAACAACCCCCCAAATCTCCTTATTCCATGTCTATTGTGCTTTCCAAACTACTTACTATCCAAATATCATTTCACTTTCTGACACTGAAAAGTTTTCAGACAACTCCAACAAGACTCCAGTAAGCCCCAGAAAGTCATCAACACCCAAGCTTAGGATTCCCACCCATATGCTGATGGCTTGCACACTTTAAATCTATTGTCCTCTGAGATCAGAACCTATTTGAGTATGCACTTAAAAAATTCAATTGATAACTCAAAATAGTTTAGATTTATCATATACAAACTGTCCTTAAGATTTCCCCCCATTTTTTTCCTTTCCTAAAATATTGGCCTTTTTCCATATTTGTTACTAAATTGGGACATCCAAAAACCTATGAATAATTCTTGACATCTTTTTTTCTCAGTATTAATATTTATCAGTCTCTGATTTTTTTTACATTCATTTTACAAGATAAATTTTTATTATCCAACGTCACAAATTGATTAAAATGTGTTTTGTTACATTTACTATAAAATCCAAATCCCCGCATCATGAATGCATGATCAGGCTCTTTCCTACATTTCCTATTTACCTCCTGGACACTTCCCCTGACTCATGCCTCTTTAGCCTCATTGTACTTCATGTTCTTTTCCCTGTGCCTAAAGTATTCTTCCTATAGTACCAACCATTTTATTAAAAAAATTTTTTAACCCCAATAAACCCCTAAATCTCATTATTTCATGTCTATTGTGCTTTCCAAACTACTTACTATCCAAATATCTCTTCACTTTCTGACACTGAAAAGTTTTCAGACAACTCCAACAAGACTCCAGTAAGCCCCAGAAAGTCATCAACACCCACTTTCTTTCTAGACAGTAACATTGAATATCAACCTATTAAGCACATTTTCTACAACATCCTATATTCATTCTCATTAATAAGTCTTAAATAATCACATATGTATTTAATAAAAATCGTCTTACTCAAGTTATGTTGCAGAAGATTATACATCAAGTAATACTACAAACATTTCCCAAGAGAAGACACAGATTTGATAAAAACAACAGCTTACATTGCTTCAGGATTCATTATGCACGTAGTTCCTAGACAGTAGCAATTGTAGATGTCATCATAGTTTAATCCCAGATTAATTCCAAGCAACTGTACCATAACAACTGAAAATGCTTCTAAAGTCATTGTCTTTGGATACTAAATAGAAAAAAAAAATAATAATTAGGCTTAAGTTATTTCTCCACCCCTTTAATCTTGTCATGCCTTTTTTTATACTACCTGAATGGAAATACAAATTTAAGAAACTGGTATACCAAAGCTGGTTATTTGCAAAGGAATATGGAAAACCACAAATTAGGTAAATTTTGTTATTCTTTTTGAGCAACAGAATTTTTAATTCAAATGGCACTAATCTATAATAAGATTAATTTTGTCATATGTTTTTATGACATTGTATTGAATTAAATTTCAACAAACTTCACAACACATTTGGAAAATCAGAAGCATTGTTTTGGTAACTATACTACTTCTCAAGAGAACACTTGGAAAAAATATATAGATTTTGAAGAGCTGAATTGGTAGTTTTGACTTAAAAAATAGTTTGTGGAAAAACTAAAGTTATCTTTTTTCTAAAAGCAGAATGGTATACTTTTGAGTAACATTTCTACAAACTCCTAGAAACCAGTGATCTTTTTACTATCTCTATAGCTTTGCCTATTCCTGAATATCACATAGTTAAAGTAACACAGTATGCAGTCTCTTCATTTGGCCTCTTTCACTTAGTGTTATGCACTGAAGGTTTCTCCATTTCTTATTGTGGTTTAATGGCTCATTTTTAAAATCACTGGATAACATTCATTGTACGGATGTGCCCAAGTTTATTTATCCATTCACCTATTAAAGGGCATCTTGGTTACTTCCCATCTGTGACAATTATGAATAAAGTTGCTACGAACATTCGCGTTCATGTTTTTGTGTGGATATAAGTTTTCAACCCATTTGGGTAAATACGAGGGAGGACCATTTCTGGTTCACATGGTTAGAGTAAGTTGAGTCCTGTAAGAAATTGCCAGACTGTCCTCCAGTGTGACTGTCCCATTCTCTAGTCCCATCAACAATGAACAGGAGATCCTACTGCTCATGTCCTCACAGCGTTTGGCATTTTGGACTTCAAAACCATGTTGAACACATGTGGTGAGCTATTTTCTTGACTTTTTTCCTGATCTTCATAGTAAAGCATTATTTTCTCAACATAAATGCAATGTTAGCTGTTGGTTTTTTGTAGACACTCTTTCTCATATGGAAGAAGTTCTCTTTTATTTCTAGTGTGCTGAGATTTTTTTAAATCATACATAGCCTTGAATTTGGTCAAATCATTTCTCTATGTGTACTGATAGGGTCATATGATTTTTCTTCCTTAGTCTATTAATATGATGAATTGCATTAATTTATTTTTAAATTATGAATCTGCCTTACATATCTGGAACAAATTCCATGTACAAATATCAACAAGGGTAATCAATGGAAATTCTAGGCCTGAAAAATTCAATAAATGAACTACAATAAAATTTACTAGAGGTCTGAAAAAAAATTCAACCAGTAATATTGTATTTGGCAAAACTAAACTGTCATTAAAAATGATGAAGAAATAAAGAATTTTTCAGATAAACAAAACCTTTGCTGGTTTATTAAGTTGTCCAGATCTACAAGAAAGGATAAAGGAGCCTTCAAATGAAAAGAAAGGGGACTAGTCAGCAACACAAAGCCACCTGAAAATGACAGAGTCCCCTGGTAAAGGTCAATACAGCAGTACATTTACATAATTCTGACATATAAAATCATTTCAATACTGTATAGAATTTAAAGAACAAAGCTAAAAAACTAAATGTATATAACAGGTATTCAAAATAAAAAGATGCAATCTGTAACATCAATAAAATAAAATTGAATGTAGAACTATAAATATTAAATGCTTTGTATATAACTGAAGTTAAGTCACTACCAGTTTAAAATAAACTGTTAGAACTTCAAGGTGTTTTATGTAATTGCAATAGTAATCATGAAGTGTCTATAAAATATACAATCAAGGAAAAGGTAAATGCATGTCACAAGAAAATAAATAAAACACAAAGAAGACTGTAAGAGAGGAAAGGAGAGACAAAAAACTACAAGATATAAAGAAAACAGCAAATAAAGTAGCAATAGTAAATTCTTCCCTTTCAGTAATTACTTTAAATGTAAATGAATTAAACTCCCTAATCAAAGGCATAATTAGTTGAATTGATTAATAAACAGAATCCAAGTCTATACTGGCTGTCTACAAGAGAATCACTTTTGGTCTAAGAACACCAATTGGCTAAAAATATAAGGATGGAGAAA